GGGCCCACTTACAATTACGTAATACTCTTGCTCACACCGACTCCCTCTTCCTCCCCCGCTTACGTTGATATACCCTAGTAATTGGGGGCCTATCAAAAGCATGCTGGAGTAAAAGTGAATTTGTAACTCTAGATATAGTAAATGAGAGTTTAGGCTATAATTGCAAAATGAAGAATCAAGCTTGCACTAGCCACAAAGAAGATTTTATCCCACAAAAAGGAAGGTAAAGTTTCTTTCTTTTTTTTTTTAAAAAAAAAAGTCCTATAATTTTTGTCACGCCAAGACGCCCACAAGAAGGCTCTTATGAAATTCAACAAAAGGTCTTGGAAAATAGGTATGCTTGTAAAAAGGGCTCTTGGCCTAGCTCTTATTTAGGCCTTCCCCTAAATGGTAACCATAAATCTCTATCTTTTGGGACCATGTCATCAAGAAAGTAAGGAAAAGACTACAATCTTGGAAAAACTCCTATATTTCCAAGGGTGGAACGCTCACTCTCATCCAAGCCACCCACCCCAAACCTCCCCACCTACGGTATGTCCCTCTTTCCCATGCCATCAAAAGTCATTAAACCCATTCAAAGTTCCATTAGAAGCTATCTTTGGAAAGGTAATTCTGAGAACATAGGTTTGCATTTGGTCAGATGGGATGACATTCAGCTGTCGGTAGCAGATGGGGGTGCATTTCTCAATGAAATGTCAGCTTTGTGGATAAGAATCATTGAAGCCAAATATGGAAATACATCTTGGAACAAACCTGGTTCCCTCACTTTATCTTCTTCCAAGGGCCCTTAGAAAGGATTTTTTTTCAGAACAGAACCTGGTTTTAGACCGTTTGATCTATAAGATTGGTAATAGACAACAAATTTCATTTTGGAAAGACCCGTGGCTGCTTGAAGAATCTCTGGCGTGCAGATTTCCCGTTCTTTTTTATCCATCCCTGAAAAAAGAGGCTGCTGTCTTTGATTTCTTGAACGAAGAAGCTGATTTTTGGAACTTGAGTCTGAGGAAAAACTTGAAAGATGCTGGAATAGATGAATGGGCCACCTTCACTCACCATCTCTCTAGTACTAAACTTACACACACAGCAGATTTTTTCCTTTGGAACTTCGAGGTAATGTGACCTTTTCCACAAATTCTCTTGTCAGGGACATCATCCAATACAATCAAGAATCATCCACACACCTATATGAAGCTATCTGGAAAGTAAATTACCCCAAAAAGTGAAAGTTTTCATTTGGGAGTTTAGCCTTAAAGCCATCAGTACTCAAGACAAACTCCAACGTAGAATGCCCTATCTACTTATTTCCCCTCATTGGTGTCCAATCTGCAGGAATAGTTCAGAAACACAACAGCACCTGTTTACATCTGGAGTCTTTGCTACATGCTTTTGGGGGCAGATTTTATTTGAATTCTGATGGTCCGCAGCCCTTCCAAACGACCCAATTCTCCTTTTAGAAGTTGTTCTTGTGGGTCACCCTTTCAAAAAGGAGAAGCACCTTTACATGAACTTTGTTATTGCCTTCATTTGGGTCACTTGGCGAGAGAAACCAATGGATCTTCAAAGAAATAGAGCTATCTTTCAACATCTTTTTTCGTTTTGTTCTGTTTTGTTTTTGTCGTTTTTTTTGTTTTTTTTTTTTGTAAGAACACCACAGGATTTAATCAAACTTTGCTCAATATTTTTGAGCTTTGTTTCTTGAAAAAGCACTAAATCCAGGCTGAGAGCTCTAGAGACTTTTTGACAACAGTTCTTTTGCCAAAATCACCCAGTCCCCTTGTGCTTCATGAAATTATCTTCATGATTTCTTTGAGCTGCTTTATATTGAACACAATACCCTATTGATAAAAAGTTCCTTGATCTTCCTCAAGATTTTATTTCAAATAAGGACATCCCTGTGTCTTCATAAAGTTGAAAAGAATTATTACTTTCTTCCGCATTATTGAGAAGGCAAGTGCCAATGCACTTATCCGAAAATACCTTTGACCATCCATTCTCAATAGAATAATTGTTGAAAATAGGGTTTATGGAATTCACATTAAAAGAATGTTCTCCAGATTCATAGAATAAGGTTCCCATCCCAGCTTCAAAACAATCTTCCACTGCCTTTAGATTACCCTCAACCAAAGGCAATATTCCATTACTAGAGTGAAGAGTCAATACTACTCAATCTCACTTCTGAATCATCAATGTCATCATAGTTATCTTCCTCCGAGGGATTCTTAATTAAATTATCATAGGTCGATTTTATAATTTAGTGAGAAATAGGGTTGTTTTTGCCTGCGTATTAATGCTACATAGAAGGGGCGATACAATATCTTTACTTCTTTTGGGTATCTGTCCTTCCAACCCATTTCCAAACTCGTTGATCCTTTCTGAAGAAGAGCAAAACAAACGACTAAGTTTGTCAAGAAAATACTATATTTAGTCTCCTCATCCTTGAGGTTTCTTCATGGTTTGAAGTCCCATGAGGCATTAGGAAAGAATCCAAACTTGGATAACCAACAGGTTACTGCTGTCAATGACATAGAATCTGGGGAAGGAACTTGAAGGAGAAGCATTCCCCTTCAAAATGTCTTGGTACAGGAACATCTTCGGATAAGCTTCTTGTAGTTGAATGCTGTCATATATTTTAAGTGAATGTACTCAGAACACTTATATATTCTTCCTCCACACAATGTTCTTTAGACTTAATTTCATAATTGTCAAAATATTTGCTATGGAAGTTCCTGCAGACAAATTTGTGTTGTAGAAGAGGCAAGTTATTTTAGTTCCATCCTTCCTTGCTGCTGAGGCCTCTGCTAGGGCTGGAGACAAGTTCTTAACTGCGCTCACCAAAGGCAGTAGCCAGCTGCAAAATAGGACTGAGCCATGAATATGTCAAAATTTATTAAAATTTAATTTATTTTGTCTGAATTTAAGAGTCTGGAAAATATAATTACTCTAAAACCTGACTGTTATTATTCTATTTATTTTTATTTTATTTTTTGATAAGATTTTTATTTTTATTTTTTGTGTTCAAAATTAAGTATGTTGTGGTTCAGCGTCTCATATATGTGAGGGTGTGCTTCTACTACATAGTTCTTGCTTGTGTGCAAAGTTTAGGGCATCAAAAATTTCCCCGAATGCATATTGTGGGAACAATATTGCAAATTTATTAGCATCAATATGTGAGTTCTTCACATAGTAGAACTCGTCATCTTTGGATTGGTTGTTTTATGTCTCTAATACCATGGATATTGGAAATTGCTGTCTTGATGGTTTGGCCCCTCTATTTCTGTTGAAATCAGATCGATCTGCCTTGTGTTGGAAATTGAAATCTGGATCTTATGATTTAATATCTCTGTATGTTTCCCCAACTTCCATGTCTAGGTTCCCAGAGAGTCGCTGCTTTTTGTTATTCCCGCTTTTGGTGGCATGGTTTCTTGGGAAGGAGATGGGGCACCATTTAAGGAATCCGACGAGACCATTACTCATCAGGTTTGCCAACATAATGACTCATGGATTTGTTGTACATTGCTTAAAATACATGGCTTTCTGCAACATCTTTTCATCTCTCTGTTCCTTTCTAAATGCAGATTGTTGACAGGCCAACACAGACTCACAAGTTCCTCTCTAGAGACTATGTTCAGCCACAATGGGTCTTTGATTGCGTAAATACACGGATTATTTTGCCGACTGAAGCTTATTTGGTGGGAAGGTACCTCCATTCCATTCATAGAAATCTGTGATGAGATTTCTTTCTCGAGTACTATAGAGTATAGACTACCTAAATTCTCTATGGCGAATGTATTTTGATGATATTATAGTAGGAAATAGTTTCCAATTCCATAAATTAGAAGCTCATTTGGCAGTCTAAACAATTTTCAGGATAAACACTATTTTGTTGTTTTCTGACCGTCATTTGTTGTTTCCTTAAATTAATTTTTATATATGAATCAGTAACTTCTGATCTTTCTAAATTGGTTAAAATGTATTATGTTTTGAACTTTTTATAAATATAGAACTTAATGATTATGCAAGTAATACCATCTTAATAGTTTCGAGATTAAGAGATTATTTTTTGAAAACCCACTCTCGAACTGTGCCTTTTAATTGCTTTTGATTTGATCCCTCAAACTGAGTGGTTTCTCTCTACATCATCTCCACTACCTTTCCCAGCCTTAGCATGTGCTTCGTAATACAGAATTTAGTTCATATTTTGTATTTATGTTTGTCATTTATACCTTCAAAGTAATCTATCTATTTCCTAACGCCCACAGGGTTCCTCCTCCACACTTGTCACCTTTTGTTGACAATGAGGCAGAAGGATATGTTCCTGATTATGCTGAGACCCTTAACCGGTTGAAGGCTGCTGCCAGAAGTGAAGTCTTGCCATTGCCTGGAGTTGGGAAAGAAGATTTGGATGATCCTCAAACTTTATTGGCTGAAGGTGTCATTGATCGAGCTGAGGCTATTGAAGCTGCTGAGAAGAAACAGAAGGTATACTTTCGACGAATATTACAGATGGAATGGTAGTGACACCTCAGTCTAACTGATGCTTAAATGCTAGCGCACACCCTTAACGTGGTACTGTGTTTTATCAATGCAGATGATGGCTCATGAGAAACAGTATCACGACGAGTTAAAAATGGAGCTTCAAGGAGTACAGTATTCTGCAGCTATTTCAAAAGTTGATAAGCAGTCATCTGATCAGGAGAGTGAGGGTGGTGAGGATTCCGCCCGCCCCGATCAACAAATTGCCGACGATAATGCTAATCTGTCAAAGGTTGTGATGTCACGGAAGAAGAGAAAACTTTACGAAGCTATGCAGGTAATTACTAGCTTTCTTTTTCTACATGTGTTATTGTTCTTTTTGAGATTTTCCTAATGGTCTAGCGAACATACGCCAAGTGCTTCCTCTTTTATGCTAACAAATTTGAGCTTCTATATTTTATCTTCTTCTTGGTAAAAGTTTTCTAAAACCTTATATCAAAACAGAACTAACTTCAGTTTTGTTATCCTGAATCGGAGCCCACTTCCTTAGATGGGCATCTAAATGGAAGGCTGATATTTTTGTATGGCCTTGTATATTCTTCATTTTTCTCGATGAAAAGCTTGGTTTGTCGTTTAAAAAACTAGGGTAAAACACACTTGTCCTTAAAGTTTGAACTTAGTTTCTATTTGATCTCTAAGTTTAAAAAACCATCAATTTTGTCCCTAAGATTTAAATTTAGTTTCAATTCAGTCCTTGAAGTTTTGAAGTCATGTTTGGTCCTTGGAGTTCAAATTTAGTTTTTAATTGGTCTGTGAAGTTTGAATTTGTTTCTAAATGGTCCCCGAGTTGAGTTCACCGTTAGTTTACCTAAGTATAGAACAAATTGTTTAAAATGATTTTTTTATTAGATAATGGAGACAAATAGAATATTCTTTATATTGTATTATACCCTAAATCATCTAAGAATAATATTTTTGGAAGGCATAGTATATTATAACATTCCAGAAACATACATTTCTGTTTCTGAAGCATGATTTTGCTTTCTACTGCTGTGACTGACAAATGTCTCTTGTGATCAGATTGGTAAAGAAAGGAAGAAGGCTAATATTAATGTTCTCAAGGAAAGGAAGAGAAAGCTTAAAGAATCTCACAAATCTTAGTAAGTCAAATGCAATGACAATTTTGTCCCCCCTTATTTGTAATGTTCTCATCTGTTGGATGGCTAGTTAGTTTGCTCAAAGCAAACTCCTCAGGTCTGTTGATTCTCAAGGTAATGTTTGTCTTTTTATGAACTATAAATAACAATTACTTTCTAGTTCTAGAACTCATTAATTTCTTTGCTCAGTTCATCCCTATGTCATTATCATCAGTCTTCTGATTGAACTAAGATGGATGAAAATTTTGATTCTCATTCTTGCCCTTCGTAAGTAAACAGATTATTTGGTCATGTTTACGTAAGAGTCCTGCATACGATCCGAAATGGACTTTTGTATATGGCACAAATTGTGACACTGATTGACTTCGGTCGGACCTGGATGCCTATGGTAGAAAGACTGAATGATTTGATTCTTGTTGCTCAAATTATTTGTTTTGACATAGATAAAACCAAGTGAAGCTAAGATAGCAAGATTGGATTATGTTACGGGTGTTCATGGTTCGGTTTAGTTTTTGATAAAGTTGAACGCAGTCTTGTTATTAGATTGCTACATTTAAAGTGATTGAAGCTGAATGAGATTAGTTTACTTCGAGAATTGATTTTAACTGAAACAAGTTATTGAAACAATTGGTTTTTTATTATGTAAATGTCAACTTTGCCCTCTCTTTTTTAACGTTTTACATCATTGAATCCAAAATTTTCAATCAGTACAGTTCTTTGGTTTTACGTTCCACCTATATAATTAATGCTTTTATTTTTTTTAAGGGAAATTACACTAGATAGCATAAAATAAAGAGGGAATTACGTAATAGTACAAATGTATTTTTATATATAGTATAAGTTTAAAATTTTACAGGCGTAAACTGAAAATTTATACAATGATATGAGACCAAAGAAAAATCATATATATATATTTTTAAAGAAGTAATATATTGTAATTTTTTAAAATTTTATTAATTTTAAATATGTATTTATGAAATTATAATTAATTTTTTTGGTTATTTTTCAATAATGTGACAAAAGTGGTTTTTGGTTGGTCTCATATAATTATATAATTGGATAAGTTCGTAAGTAACATTATTTTTGTAAAATTTTAAATCTAATGTTATATATAAAAATACAATTTCTTTTTGTTAATTCACTTTTTTTTTAAAGACCAAAAAAAAAATTTAAAATTTTAAAAATAAAAAAAATTTAATGGATTATTTGAATATTATTCTCCTTCCTTTGAAAGAGGGTGGGGATATTTGGAATCAAGTTTCTACTTCTACTGATGTGGGGAGGAAAATGATTGCTCGATTGAATAGTAAAGTGATAGATTTTTTTGATTTCACCGTAAATAATTTTTCCAGTAAATTTGAATTTAACCATTTAAAAAGACCAAATATAAGAAGCTTCTCAAGTTCAAGCATTTACTTTTCTAGGTAGAGACTATGTTTATGTAAAAAATGTGACGGGGTATGACCTGGTCAAAATCGGTCAGGGGAAGAGCTCGACTTGCTTCAGGTATGACGATGGGATAGCATGACATGCTCCAGGTATGACCGCGACAAGAGTTTGGGTATCCTTAGAAAGGGATGACCAGGTCAAAGGGTCAAGGTCGACTAATTGGGATGAACAGAAGTGTCAGGAATGAGCTGAAGGCCACTTGGCGAGAAAGACCCGTACAAGGGAACAAACACTTTAACGCTCAATTCAGTTTGAGTCCGACCTTAATATAGAGACCGAGCTAGGATACGATACCTGACTGAAGAGTCAAGTGCCCTATTAATAGGTACCCGACAAGGGATCCGACCGACGATTGAGCATGTTTGGACCAAGGTCGGCTTGTCGGGGGTAGCTATTCCAGTTCATACTCTTGTCATTTGGAATTTAGCTAAGTATGGAAGGTCGTTCCTCCCTTGAATGATCTTCAGGGAAGACCTTCAAGCCATTAGGCAAGACCTTCAGGTCGGTCCTTAGGGAGCTCTTCAGGCAAGACCTTCAGGTCGGCCCTTAGAGAGCTCTTCAGGTCGGCCACCAAAGGGAAGAGCTTCAGGTCGGCCACCAAAGGGAAGATCTTCAGGTCGGCCACTTTGACATTTTTCTGTCTTCCACGTGGTAGTACGATTTTCACCCCCAAACATTGGCCCCTTCTTTGGCTGGTCCGAGTTTGACCTGGCAAAGAAGTTTTTCCTGGGTTTGAAAATCTGCCTAAGTGGTGACTTTCATCTTTCGAGATTGAAGTAGATCACAGGTCAGACGTCCAACAATGTATAATAGGTCGGACGTTGAACACAATGTTATGGTCATGACTTGAGCCAACTTTGAGAAACTCAACTTAGACTTGCCATGTTGATTAAGTTTGATGTTTGAAGAAGCTTGACCTGAGCTGGGCGCTTAGGAGTTGGAGTAAGAGCTGAGAAGCTCGACCTAAGCTAGGTGCTTAGGAGTTTGACATGCGTACTTCGTATTGGGTGAATTCAATCTCATCTCTGTTATTTTGAACTTAGTCGTAATTTTTCGTACATCGCACCTTGGACTCATAAGTTTAGAGGTTTGGATTTTTTCTTTTATCAAATTACATCGCACCTCAAACTCGTAAGTTTAGAGATTTAAAATTTTTTTTATTAGATTACATCGCACCTCGAACTCATAAGTTTAGAGGTTTGAATTTTCTTTCATGGAATTACATCGCACCTCGAACTTGTAAGTTTAGAGGTTTGAATTTGGTTTGGAGTTGTACCTTGGCACTTATGCCATATGGGAGTACTTGGCCCCCATTGGAATGTAGGTCGACAACACCTAAGTTGGATCTATCATAGTGGATCAAATATGATCAAACGATGGAAGTTCTTTCTTTAGATAAGGATGAGCTGCCTGAAGCTCTTCCTCTAGGCGATTGAGTTAAGATGAAGCTCTTCCTCTAGGCGGGGATGAGCTGAGATAAAACTCTTCCTCTAGGCGAGGTTGA